CTGGAAAATCTTTTTTCTAATTTTCATTTTGATCAGCAGAATTTTTGCTTGATTACTGTGTGGAATGATCTTCTTTCAAATACAAAAATTTTAATCAAAGGTTGATAAGAAATACTACTAAAATAAGAAAAAATGTGGACGAAATAATGAATCAAATAAATATTCAGGGCGGCGGGAATATTACCTTTAATATACTTTAATTATATAAGTTAACTTGTTATTAGTTCTAAAAGTTCAGTAAAGACTTGCTTAATTTGTTGTAAATTTGATATTCTTTTAGCTGTTATACAACACTTGAATTAATTTGATCTAGTCTATCTTCTAAGATATAATTTGAGCTAGGCTGTAAATTTTTTCTAACTTATCATTTTTGATTCATTTGATAGGAATCGGATCACTTTGTACAATAAAATACTATTATTTTAAAACATACAATATTCCGAAGCAACGGGAATTCTTTATACTGTATTTTCCCGATATAGTAGGTGACATTTTAACATTAATTTCTCCTTGACTTATACAGAGATCAAAATCGAATGAGCAGGTTGGATGAATTGCTTTCAGATGTCTAGCAGATGAAAACTGCAACAAAAATTTGCATTCTGAATCAAGTTTTAGCGATATGCAAATTTTTTACCAATTTATTTTGCTCGAAATTTGATTCAAAATTTCTCGTAATAAAAATTCATAGCATTCTATATTGTGTGAAAAAAAAGAAATAGTCAATTTTTTTTTGAACAAAATTATTATCATTATCATCATCATTATTATCATTATCATTATTATCACTACTATCATTATCATTATTACTACTGTCAGATAAATTGCATAAAAACTGTTATTTGAAGTGACTCAAACCATATCTTAATCACAAAAGCTGTAGATTTTAAGCCAAAATTTTAATTTAAATTAAAAAATCAAAACTTTCACTTTGTAAAGTAACTTGATATGTCTTAAAATTTTGTTCAAAAGCAAAGAAATAGTTAAGTAAATAATAAATTGCTACTGTATTAGGATTAGCAGTTCGCTTTGATTCCCCAGCACTTTCTATTAAATTATTAAATTTTGGTTGAATTGTGAAGGAACTTCCAATAACATAATTCAACTTCAAACTGTCCACTGCTAATCGTATAATATTGTGCCATTCTTTTATTCCAAATGATCTAAATTCTGAATTATTTTCGTTCTGTGTTTCAATTGTATTCATTTTTGTGCAACAAAAATATAAATAATTTTTATTCATAGCAAAACTGAGCTTCTTAAATCTTTTAAAATTGAAAACACTTGAAACTTTCATCAAAATCTATAATTTTTTAATAATACATACGTGAACTAGTATTTATAAATCATAAAAAATATGGTACTCATACTTTGAATAATTTAGATTTTTGCCGTACAATTTAATTCATAAAGACTAATTTTTTAAATAATATAATAATAATAATAATAATAGTAATAATAAAATCTGAGAAATAATTTCTAGAAGCTATTTATATGAATCTTGTCTGTGAGCTTCTTAGTATCTTTAGTATTTTATTGCTATCTTTTGCAAATTAATTTTTCAAATTAAATTGTACCGTACCTTTTGAGTATACCGTAAAGAGAAGTGAATGACCCAAAGAAGACAGGATTAGGGTCTGAGTGCTCCTTATCTGTGAAAAGAAGTTTGATATCTTGTGTTTTAAAAACAACTTCTTGATTGTTTTTACTTGGCTCATTTACAGAATTCTCATTTTTGAGCTTAATCTGAAATAAACTTTCAATAGATCTTTTCAGGCCAAAATAAATGCTATTTTAATTTTTGCATAGTTCATAAAATGTTATTTTCATTCAAAATTACTTGAAAAGTTGTATTAATTTCGATCAACTGCAGCTGAAATAATCTGTTACTGATCAATTCGTTAAT